CCAACCTACCAGCGATGGCCTCCAACCTAAGAGCGATTGCCTCCTAGCGGTGGCCTCCAACCTCCTAGCGATGGCCTCCAACCAAAGAGCGATTGCCTCCTAGCGGTGGCCTCCAACCTACTAGCGATGGCCTCCAACCTAAGAGCGATTGCCTCCTAGCGGTGGCCTCCAACCTACCAGCGATGGCCTCCGACCTAAGAGCGATTGCCTCCTAGCGGTGGCCTCCAACCTACTAGCGATGGCCTCCAACCTAAGAATCCTAAGAGCGATTGCCTCCTAGCGGTGGCCTCCAACCTACTAGCGATGGCCTCCAACCCAAGAGCCATTACCTCCTACCAGTGGCCTCCAACCTACTAGCGATGGCCTCCAACCTAAGAGCGATTGCCTCCTAGCGGTGGCCTTCAACCTAGAAGCGATGGCCTCCAACCTAAGAGCGATTGCCTCCTAGCGGTGGCCTCCAACCTACTAGGCCTCCAACCTAAGAGCGATTGCCTCCTAGCGGTGGCCTCCAACCTACCAGCGATGGCCTCCAACCTAAGAGCGATTGCCTTCAACCTTTATGCCGTGTTGACACGTTCTGAGACCCTTCCCCTCGCATCGGATTTTGCGCCTTCGCAGCCTCGGAAGCGTCGTCAGGTCTTGCACCCGCCGGGGCGTTTTCATCGATAGCGTGGAAACCGCTCCAGAAGTGTTGCTGGGAGAGATTTTGGAAGATGGCAGCTTGGATCTGCAACTGCCTTTTGCAGCCGGCTGGGCTAATCGAGGAACCGCAGGATTAAAATGGGTCACATTGCTGCCAGTGGAGAGTGACGATGCTGGCTCTGGCTCAGATGATTCACAACGTTGAAGGAAAAGATGGAGAAACAGCTGCAGGCGGTACTATCTTGGTGAGACAGCCAGATTCAGATTGAGACGGAGGCGAAGTTATGTCGCCTTATGTTCAGAAGAAAACATGTTTGTGGACAAGCAATCCGCAAAGATGCGAATGGACTTTACTATAGGTTGCATGCGTTCAAGCAGGGAAGCATCATGCAGCAGGCTTGCTGCTGTGCATTCTGTCAGACAAAAAGGAGCAGCAGGGATTCAACAATAAATCCTGGGCCCATGCTTGTTGGGCTTTCTTGAGGAAATAGTAAGGCCCAAGGAGCTCAAAGGCTTTTCAGGGTAAAGTGTGAAATATAGGAGTGGTCGGAGATTTGACATTACTATCCCATGTGCTTTGTGCCGGCGCACGATCCAAGGCGTCAAAAGTTGCTGCCAAAGATTATCAGTGGCACGTCGGGAGGCGCCGCCATTGCGGCGTACATTTGCTGCCGCACCGATGACGAGCTGCTCGGGGACTGCAAAGGAGAAGCGCCCCTCGAATGCAGATGCAACAAGAAAGAATTTCAGTGGGAGTTCTATCACACAACATGTGTGTTGTTTTGTGAGGTGTTGGACACTGTGTGGCCTGCGATGTGAAAGCTTTCCTAGTGCGAACGAGCAGGTCGTATGCGCTGACAGTGACAGTCGAACGACCTGTGAGGAATCTGGCTCAGTCGGGGCGTTTGGGGGTGCTTGGTCAGTGAGCACTCAATACATACCCCGACTACCTCATGTGACCTCAGGCCCAACTGGAGTAGATTCGACTTGGCGGTGCAAAACCTAGCAGGTTTAATCAGAAGTATGAAATTGTATGAATATGAACATGTTAGTAAGGCCAGGAGCTACTAGTAGCGTCCTTGTTGCTAGTAGCGATGCCCTTTGTTACTAGTAGCTTCTTGTTCCTAGTAGTAAGGCCAGGAGCCCCTTGTAGTGTCCTTGTTCCTATATGAATATGTGCCCCGAGGGCTTCAAGGCGCCACAGCCAAATCCGCACATTCAGGTATCCATTGCGACTCAATCCGGACGAGGCCTTGGTTTGCCGGAACTTGCTCGAATGAACATTGACTGTATCCTTCCAGTATTGATGAAAGCGTGGTAAAAGTTGATATTTAGTAACTAGCAATGTAAGACGCAAGAATTTGGTGTTCCATGATAACAGTGGCAGCTGGAGCACTACTGGAAGGGAGACTGAGGCCCATAAGATCAGAGGCCACATGGGGGCACTGTCAGACTTCCACAATGCCCATTTTCCAGGTGCAGCCCTCCATCACGTTGTGGGCCGGCTCATGGCTGGAGCGAGTGAGGCACTACATCAAGTTTGGTTTCTTGGAAGCGACGAATCGACGCTCCGGAGCTCTTCAGAAAGCCCCCAACGAATCACAACTTCCGAATTGTTCCTAGTAGCTTCTTGTTACTACTAGTAAGGCACTTGTTACTAGAAGCGATGCACGTGTTCCTAGTATCTGAAGTTTGGGCAATTTGGCGCAGATCGGTCAAGGACCTGACATGTTGACACCTCTTGTGCTGCCCTCATGGACATGATTTGGTGTGCCTAGCTCAGGATGTGTGTTCCCCCGCGAGCCCATTGAGCGATGGGCAGAGATTCTGTGGCTGAAAGAGCAAGTCTGGCAATTTGGGGGGTGCAGATTGCTCGACCATCAGTGCTGTAGAGCGCGTAGAGAGAGAGAGAGAGAGCGGGGGGGGGGGAAGTGGGATAGTGGCTGTGTGGTTGGTCATCTTGAGTTGTTGGTCCTTTTTCTTTTTACTTGTTTCTAGTAGCGATGGCCTCCAACCTAACAAGAGCCCCAATTGCAATACAGGACCGCACGCCATCACATGCCTGGTGCCTGCACAGTCTCCCTGAGGACTTGGGCTTTGGGAGAGACGACCTTCTTGGAAGCATTCAAGCGCACTGGCCGGGCCTCTTGGGTCCAATTGGCGCTTTTCGTCCGTGCGCAACGTCCTTGCTCCTAGTAGTAAGAGGTTCCTAGTAGTATGGGCAGGAGCCCCTAGTAGCGTCCTTGTTCCTAGTAGCGTTGCCCTTTGTTACTAGTAGCGAGTATTGCTCCTAGTAGTGATACAGAAAGCAGACAGAAAGTGTTGAATGTTTTACTATGCTACGCTTCCATTAGGATGTTCTTACTCCTCGCAGAGAAGAAACGTGGAAAGAATGGTATCACACATCGAACCCTGATTCAAGCAATTCAAGAGATATATTCAGTTCCTGCTACAAGGGGCTGTGGGACTTCACGATTCTTTAGCTTTATATGGTGGTGGGACAAACAACGACCGGGAGGCTTTTGCGACTAAGAAACGCATTTAAAGTGCACAAGGAGCCCTATGTCGCGCACGGCCCAACCGAATATGCAAACTATATAATATATATATATATACCGTTCTTCCTTTCTTTTTTCTTTGTTTCTAATAATAGCGATGGCCTCCAACCTAGTAGCGATGGCCTCCAACCTACTAGCACTACCCGCTAGCCTCGTTCAATCAAGGTGTTGAACATCACTTGCAGCATTGTGGCGGGTGACAGCGGTGAGCCCTTCGGATAAGATTTGATCGTACTCAGGGAATGCAAGAAGTCCACTTTTGACTGCGGTGTGCTTTTTTTCATCACTGTCACTCCAACATGTTCAAAAACAAAAAGTAATATAAAGTAAGAACAAAACGTCGAAAGTCTAAAGAACAAAGTAAGAGCAAGAACGCACTGTAGTCAAATATTGACATGGATTTAGACTTGTTGACATGCAATGGCAAGAGCAGAATGCTTTCGAGCGCGTTGGTTTGTAGCGCCTCAGCTAGTGCCTTTGCTTGAGGTGCAACTCGTTTGTTTTTTAATCGAAACTTACATGTTGTTCATCTACTCATTTTTGTCTTCCACCGGCGAGGGCAGGGTTGAGGCGCGGGAAAGGTGGTGACATCTTGGCTGTTCTTCAAACGGAGACGTCTTGCAGTTTAGCTTTGAGCTTGATCAACCCGATCACAATTTCATTATTGCCTTGCAACATGTTCAAGGATGGCTTAGATGCGCATGTGCTCGAGGCAAGTGCCATTGCTCTTGAACTACCAGACGCACTCGCACGTTTTGATTGCATCAGCGGTGATTTGCTCCGGCTCTATGCCTGGCTTGCTAAATCCCAGCAAGCATTTCGGACCACAAAGGGGGGCCGGGATAGGGAACTCCATTCGTATGGCCGTGGCAAGCACAAAACTTGATGGTGAATAGATCTTGCTGAAACTGGTTGGAGGCCATTGCTATTAGGTTGGAGGCCATCGGGAAGAATGATTGAATCAGGCTCGGCGGAACTCAAAACCACAACGAACTGCTGTTTCTCTTCAGCCGAATCAGGCCGTGCATGCTTCCACAGCATCATACTCAAACAAAATGGGACTGGGCACCGGAGCAGTTTACTAAGTAGTCTCCTTCAGTCTCCCAAATCCTTCGTGTCGTTTGCAATAGTATCCATGTAATTGTAATTACTGTATATAAATGCTTCCGTGTTTGTTGCCAAAAGAAAGGATTCCCAAGGATCACTTTGAGCAAATGAGACATTTTTCCATGGTCACATCCCACTTCCCAATTTGAAGGTTTTATGGAAAGTCGAAGATCTCAGTCCACCGTTCACAGTGAGGCTATTGGAGAAATGCCCAGAGAGTGGGCTCATTCGTGTCCTGGCAATTGGTTTGGGGGAGGCAATGGAAACTGCAAAAAATGCGGCTTAAACCGCTTCATACTACCTAGAAAAATATTATGTTTTGAAAGAATGTGTTATGAGGGGTTAAGCTTTGGAGCACCACTTCTAAAGTCTGCCTTGCCACGGGAGAGTTGGGGGAGGGGATGTGCGACACCGCCCATGTTCACAAGTACCTCGACGGAAAGGAACACATGCGTGAGAGATGCTAGCTTGCTGTCGCACTGCGCTGTGCCAAGTCTGCCCAAGGTGCACACTGTGAGCGGCAAACCTGCTATGCTGATGGCTCGATTGACTTCGATATTCCATCCCTCACGCTGGCGCAGGACAGTCGTGTGGGTTGCACGATGTGGGGCAAGAGTCGCCATGAGGCATTGCCAGAGCAACGCTTGTCACATGTAACCCCGACTTTAATCCACCACTCCATTGTCCGAATGCTTGCTGAGGCATTAGAATGAAAGTGATTTGAACAAGAGCTTTGAATGAGCATAATATGCTTTTTATGTGAAACTCATATTATCAATGACCATTATTATCGCTACTAGGAGCAAGGACGCTACTAGGGGCTCCTGGCATCGCTACTAGGAGCAAGTAGCTACTATAGGAGCAAACGGCATGGCTACTAGGAGCAAAGGGCATCGCTACTTATGACTATTACGACTAGTCATGTGACTCATTGGTTCGTCTCTGCATGGTGTCACGACATGTCACGACAAGCACGCGCTGAGCATGCGCGTAGCAAGGCCTTTGGGGTCCGCTACACGGTCGCCGTGCAGGTGAACCCTCACGTCTCTTGGAAGAATGGAACACGCCAGGCCATCAGTAGGTTGGAGGCCATCGCCCTTAGGTTTTGATGGGCCGTGATGGGCCCTTTTCCATGTTCACTCAAGTCAGGTTCACATCTATCAGTTCCACGGCTTTTGTCCTTGACTAGTTCCAACTGAAAACACTGAGAAGCATGCATGACATAAACTTCTTCGACAAGGTGTTCCTCACTGATAACGTGGTAAGTGCTTTCCTTACGATGTGTCATTTCTGCTTTGCAATGACTTAGTGTCATTCTCACTTTTCATCGTCTTCGAACTCACCTGCCCCGTGTTTTCTAACTGCATGGTGCCCTTGAACACTCAAACTGCTTATTAATGACTCCTATTCTTAACCAGACCTATCAAGCAAGTACCTTTCATGTGTTTGTTCTTTGTGCTTACTGTAGTCTTACCCTTGGGCCTTCCTTCGTTCATTCCTTTCTTGTCTTCTTTCCTGCAAGAAAACGTTCCTCTAATTACGCCTTGCAGTCTGACCGAGTGAACGAAACCAAGCAAAACATGCGACGAACACGGATGCTGTTTTTCACTTCCTGGTTCCCTTCGTTGTGCTTTCCATGCGTGTACCGTCGTTCCGTTTTGGCGTTTTTGCGTTTCTTCGTCTTCGTTCGGTTCCAAAGGTGACACCTTTCAACTTCGCCCCTCATGGCGAAGCTGGCCGGCCCATCAGCTTCTTGGCCGATCTCGGGGGGGACCGGAGCTGGTGCATTTGTGGCGCCTGCGGCCTAGAGGCCATATAAGTTCAGATTTCTCAGGATTTGGCCATTTCTGTTTGGCAAGGCTGACTTAAGCAGGCGTTGCATGCTTTTGGCCTGTGAAAGAGGAGAAGGAAGAAAGGTCTAATATCGTTTGCTAGTAGGTTGGAAGCCATTCCTAGTAGGTTTGGACTACAAGGTGTTGCATGCTTGCTACGCCGAAGGTTGGAGTTCACCCTCGGGCCGTGGTCGTTGGCGCGGCGGCTTCATCCTGTGTGCTTTAGAGGCGAAGAACGACTGTGTCATCCGCTTCTCAACAACAAGCGACAGCGCAAGAGCGGAGGGGCTCATATGGGCTCATAACGGGTCACAGACTTTCTTGTGCTGTTTGAGACCCTTAATGAAGAATTCAGTAGAGCGGAAAGTTCAAAAAACACAGATTTGCCCACACAGATCCATTTGTGCACGTAAGATCCCCCTCGCAGCCTTGCAGGTGGTGTTGAAGGAGAGCTTCAGATCTGCCTGGAAGGCGGGATTCTGGTCACATCGCTTGATGCACAAGGAAGTGATCAAAAACAGCTGACATCGAAGTCTCTTCAAGTTGAGAAAGTTGAGCTTCTGATGTCAAACTGTGTGTGTGTGTTGGGTAGGAGAAAGGACGCTAGGAGGAAAGGGCATCGCTACGAACGGAGCGATCAGACGCTACGTTCGGGGCTCCTGGCCTTACTACGAACGGAGCAATGTTCGCTACTAGGAACATGTGTTTTCTTTCAGTGCCCGCGCCCGCGGGCTCCATCATTGAAGGTCATGGGTTTGCTTCAGCTGCTGCCTCGCTATTTCGGATGCTCGGTGCACGACACTAGTTTGGGCAGCGGGGCGAGTTAGAGAGAGAGGGGGAGAGGTTTGGGGAGAAAGAAAGGCAGATGAGTAGGCACAAAACTTCAGTTTTGGTTTCTCAGTTTCCTGCAGGTAATCTTTGCAAAGACGATTCTTTCAAGAACAAAGTGGAGAATAGGCTGCCCAACTTGCAGCAAACCTGGCAAGTCCGAGGATGCAAATGGGACCTCTTCTTTGCACAGGTCTATGAGGGTTCAGTGACGCTGAGCACCTTGGCACGGCCTTGATTTGATGAAATGTTTGTACAGTAAAGCATTGCCCAATCCAAGACTAGCTTACTGAATCAAGAACCTCACTTTCTGCACGTGTGCACTGAATACATAGATTGTAGTAGGGAAGTATAGGGCATGGAGGAGGATGGCAGAAAGCCACGCTAAGGTGCTGGTTCAACAGCTTGCAACGCATGTCCTACCTCATGCCTAATGACCTAAAATATCAGAAAAAAGAAACGACCCTTTGTGTGTCATTGGGCCCTTTGTGGAGGTACCGAGGATGGCTACTTTTGGAAATGTTTCAATGCTTTGGAGAGACTCGGAGTCCAACGGAGAGTCCACCGAGTCACCAGGCCTCGAGCTTTCAGTCGCCAGGAGCTACGACTAGCCGTGTCCCTTGTTACTAGTAGCGATGCCCTTTGTTCCTAGTAGCGTCCTTGCTCCTAGTAGCGATGCCCTTTGTTACTAGTAGCTTCTTGTTCCTAGTAGTTCGAAGAAATCCTGCTTAGGTTGTAGATCGTGAGGTGCTCCGCAGTGCTTTCATACAATTCTTCGGGGTCTCAGTGGTCTACTCAATGGTCTACTTCAGCGGTTTACCTTCTTCAGATATTTTCTGGAAAGTCCCTCAGTTAGACTTTCTGTAGGTTCTTCTCCAACCCAGACTGCTCAGGCATGACCGACTGGCGTGCTTTTCCTGAGGAATCCTTCGCAGGAAGCATTCAGATATTGGTGGAGACAGGGCCGGCTGATGGTTTGGCAAAAGATGCCACTGCTGGAAGCTTGGAGCAAAGCAGCAGCGGCGGCGGTGGATGAAGATCCTGGTGATCCACACAGAAGTCAGTTTGACATTAAAAGAACATATGCCAATGCAATTATATGTGACATATGTGATGGGTGATGGATGGGTACCGTTCTTGAAAGAAACAGGAGGGTTCTTGAATCAAACAGAGTCGAAAGGAATGAGCGCAGGGTCGGAGTGGCGCTAAGGAGAAGAGGCTAAGAATTGAGCAAGCTCTTTTCCACTTAGAGAATGAGCTGGAAGAGGAGGCTTTGCCACAGCCGTGCCAGGCGCATGTCTATTCTGAAGCATTCAGCGCCAAATCTAAAATTTTTGGCAGCTGATATACCGTTCGAAAGACCACGTCACAGGT